CTGCCTGGGTTTTTGTACCCTCTGAGCGGGGCTTACTGTTGCAAGGTGTGGGGTTTTCTTTTCCTCCCTCTGCGTACGAGTTGGATTTGGTGTCTGCCCCTTCCCTGGTTTGGTTCCATGTTTCCCCGGGGGCTTCAGTTCCGTCTTTCTGGAGGTTTTCGGCTTATCGCATCCAACCTGCTGTGGTGCGGGCGGCCCTTGCAACGAACCTCCTGCATGACCCGGATTATGCCTCGGCAATGGATCCCTCGACTTTCAGGTTTGGGACTTCATTCCCTTTCTGGCTCCGTTACGAGGTTCCGGAGTCGTCCTGGCTGGCGGACTGTCCTGTCTTTACTTTGGAGGCTTGGCACTCCTTCTGCCATTCCCGCACGCTTGAGTGGCGAGAGGCTTCGACGGTGTTTCAGGTTTTCCTAGGGGGGCCATCTTGAGCACCTCAAAGAGTGCTTGTTTGCTCCTGTCCTTTCCCGGGATGTCGGTGTCGTTCAGCTCCATGTGCAGGTTCCCCTCCTTTCAGTGGTGCAGGTGGCGGAGGACTTGCACGCTCGGGGCCTTTTGGTTGCGGCATTGCGCTTCTTTTCCCTAATGGAGCTGTTTTCTCACTGGCTCAAGGAGGATGTGGGGGGCGCTTGGGGCTGTTCCGGGGTCTGGCGCATTGGCCTCGGTGGCTTGCTCATCGGCTGCCGTGCTGAAGCTTTTCGCGCCGATCTTGCGGGATGCGGTGGCTCTGTTTTATGCCTCCCAGCTCGCATGTCAGCAAGCGGTGCTTGCCTCCTCTGTGGAATCCGCTTGGGCCTTGGCTCTTAGGCTTTTGTCCCCTTTTTGCCCCCTCTTGTTTGAGGCTTCAGTCGTTGCGCAGTTTATTCAGTCTGCTTTGGCTTCTTGTTGTCCTATGTCGGACTTACTGGTTCTCCGGGGGTCCCGTGGTGGGCCTCCCGGACGGGTCGTGCCAAGGCTCGGGGTTCCTCCCGTTGTGGTACGCCTCTGGTGTCAGGTTCGGGTTCGGTGCCTTCTTCGGACCCACCTTCGTCTGGTGGGCGCGGTGTTCGCTCTGTGTGAGGTTCTGGGTCTCGTAAGGTGCACCGGCCCTTTTGCAGTTCGCCCCATTGATGGGGCAATGGGGGGGAGGCTTGTGCTGTTCGCTCACACCTGATCCCATGATTTGTGGGCGTTTTGGGTTGTTTCACACGGCCTCCGGTGGCATTGGGTGGCCCCTCCCCCTGCAGGGGGTTCGGGGCTGGCTTCTTCCCCCTGTGCTCTGTCAGGTCATCTTGGAGTGAGTTCACTTGGGCGTGGTCGAAACGGAGACATCCCTCAGATGGGTTTCCCATCTGTTTCCGGTCCCGAAACGAGACTGCGCGGACTTGCGGTTCATTCTGGACTTGTCCCGTCTGAACCCCTAGGTTCATTGCCCCTCCTTTCGGATGACCACGCTGTCTCAGGTTCGGCTCCTGTTGGAGCCGGGTGCTTGGATGGTGTCCCTGGACCTCCGGGATGCTTATTGGCACGTCCCAATTCATCCGGGGTTCAAGGACTGGCTCGGTTTTGTTGTGGGGCTTTGTGCTTACCGCTTTCGTTGTCTTCCATTCGGCTTGAACCTGGCACCTCGCGTTTTCACGCGCCTCACGCGGGTCGTGGTGACCCGTCTGCATCTGTTAGGTGTTCGGGTGTTGGCCTACCTCGACGACTGGCTGGTTTGGACTCCCAGCCAGTCCGCTTGTCTGCGAGCCAGGGATCTGGTTCTTTCTCAACTCGCTGGGTTAGGGTTCTTGGTGAACTGGAGGAAGTCCCATCTGGTTCCCTCCCAGGTTCGGACCTGGCTGGGCCTTGTGTGGGGACTCTCAGACCGCTTCCTTGTCTCTTCCTCCGGAGTCTCTTCTGCGGCTGCGGTCCCGCTTGTGCCTGTTTCTGGGGGGCTCCCGGGTCTTCCGACGGTTGCTCAAGGGTCTGTGCCGGAGCCTGAACTTCGCGATGCTGGTCTACCCGCCGGATTGGGTTTGGCTTCGTCGGCTGTTCTGGTTCCTTCGGGGACGTCCCTCCCGCCTCTCGCGATCGCTGGGTTCGGACCCCTGGGGCTTTGCGTCGGTTGCTGTGTCACCGACTTCCTCTTCGGGTTTTTCGAGGTTCAGTGTTGTGGCGCCTACCTGAGCCCTCGCTTGATGTGTTCACAGACACGTCGTCTCTTGGCTGGAGCTTTCTGACCATTGCTTACCAGGCCAGCCAGGGTCGGTGGGGTCTGTCCTTCCGTCGAGCCCACAGCACTGTGCGGGAGTTCGCGGCGGTGTGGTTTGCTCTTCGGAGGATTCGAGTCACTCGCGGGTCGACGATCCGGCTCCATTCGGACTGCTCCCCGGTGGTTCATTGTCTGAACAGGGCGGTTCGATGCGGTCCTTGGCTCTTTGGCGCTGGTCGCTTCGGGTGACTCGTCTGCTGAGTTCTCGGGGTTTGGCTCTCCTCGCAGTTCACGTGCGGGGTGTGTCCAACGTTTTGGCCGACGGCCTGTCTCGTTTCGTTCCCCTCTCCACGGAATGGACGGTCAACGCCGACTCCTTCCGTTGGCTTTGCCAAATGTTCAGACGTCCTGAGGTGGACCTCTTAACGTCGGCGTGGCCGCGGCGCCTTTCCCTGTATGTGGCGCCCTTTCCCGACTGCAAGGCCGTCGGGGTCAACACCTTTCAGCAGGACTGGTCGAGGTGGGGGTTCCTGTACCTCTTTCCCCCGGTTCAGCTGTTGCTGACAGGTCCTGACTGTTGCTCTGTCCTTTTGGCCCCTTGGTGACCGGCCCAGCCGTGGTTTCAGGCGCTGCTTGCTCGGTGTCTGAACCCGGAGGTTTTTCCGCGGCTCCGCCTCTTCCAACAGATCGGCCCGATACGTCATGTGGCTGGTTCGATCTTCTCCTCGAGTCTTCGCGTATGGTCTTTTTGACTCGAGTGTATCATCATCTCTGTGGTGGTCAGGTGGCTTCCTTATTAGTGTCCCACCTGCGGGCTTCGTCTTGACGGCAGTATGAAGTTTCCTGGCAGTCCTTCCGGTTCTTCTTACATCTTCATCATTGTACTTCACTTTCTGTTAGGGTGGTGTTGTTCTGTTAGGGTGGTGTTGTCCTTTCTCTCTTGGTTGTTCCAGGACCGTCTTCTTATGCCTAACACTGTCGCCTCATATTGTGCGGCGCTGGCGGAGCCGCTTCAGCTTGCTTTCGGTATTGATGTCACGTCTGCGCCGTTTCGCAAGCTGTCTCGGGCGTTCTTTCACCTCCGGCCTGCTCTCAAGAAAAGAGAGTAGTGCTCTCTTTTCTTTCTTCTCCTTGTTTTGTTGTGGCCCCCTCGGTTCCGGATTGTTTTTTGAAGGCTCTTTTCCTGTTGGCATTGGCCTCTGGGGATCGGGTAGGGGAGCTTTATGCTCTCCTCCGGTGCAGAGGTTTCTGCTCCTTCGGTCGGGGTGATCGTTTTGTTCGTCTGCAGCCTTCTCCTTCTTTTCTGGCGAAGAATGAGACTGCTGCGTTCCGGAGGGGCCCTTGGGTTGTTGATGTTTGGTTGGTTCGGCCAGGGGTGCATCATGTTTCGTGTCCGGTTGCGGCTCTCCGCCATTATTTGCACGCCACGGCCTCTGTGTCCGTGGATGCGTTTTGGGTTGATCCGGTTTCCCTGCTCCCCTGTTCGAAGGTGCGGGTCTCCCAGGTCGTCTGCAGGGTTATTAAGGCTAGCCAGCCTGCTGTCTATCCCCGTGCCCATGACGTCCGCAAGTTCGCGGCCCTTGCCGCCGTCTTTGGCAATATGTCCTGGGCTGACATTCGGGCACGGGGATTTTGGCGGTCGAACAGGGTCCTGGCTGCTCGATACCTTGTAAACGTTCCTGGACCCGGTTGGGGCTGTGTCGCTTTGGGTCGGCAGATGCAGCCAGTTGTCTCGACTTTGGGTTGAGGAGTGAACAGCAACCGCCTCCCGGGTAAGTCCCTATTCTTTTCTCTGTGGGTAGTTAGCTCCGGGGAGCCATGGGGGCTCCCCCCAGAAAGCCAGCGTTGAATGTAATGAAACGCCATTTTCTGGGTGAGTCCCGGAGGCTCCCTGGCATCCCTCCCTCCGGTCGGCGTTTTTTTCGCGTGTTTTTGACATCCAGCCTAAGAACTAGGGTGTGGATTGTCAGCATGGTAGGTCTGGGGCTCCCCCTTCCCCCCTCCCGGGGAGGGGGGGGCTGCGCAGATGAATGACGTCATACTAGTTTGCTCGTTTTTGTTTGGGGAATTCTATTCACTCGTTCAGCTTTTGGTTGCAATTTTCACCAGAATAGGGGTTTGTTTTGGGACGCCTACCTTTCTGGGTGCCTAACCTGGTCGATGGCAGACATAGAATGCTCCCAATTACACGGGGGTTTCTATAGGCCATTGCTTCCCTTGCCTCTCTAGAGGGGGCCAGGTTCTGGCTCGTGGTACCCCGGTAAGCCCATAAGAACTCCATACACATGACTGATGCCAAGGTCTGACATTAGCATATCAGCCTGGTAAGCTCCGGGGAGCCTCCGAGACCCCACCCAGAAAATGGCGTTTAATTACATTCAACGCTGGTTTTTGTATGTTTTTTTACGAATTTTATCAATATTTGGACTGAGCACTAAAATACATTTGAGCCTTCAGTAGATGATGCAGAATAACACTTCGTTCAAAAATAGATTCAGTTAAGGCTGTTCTGTATATTTAATTTTTTATTATTATTATTAATAATCCATAAAATATCAGATTTAAGTTTAAAGATTTTATGCACTGTACAATAGTGACAACTGGATTAGCGGCTTAGTTGAACAGTCCTTACCGAAATGAACATTTGTTTACTCTATTGAACAATTAGTACCAAATACAAACTATTCATAGTATCTTGAATTATGTTAGAGGCAGGACTCACTGTATTTTCCTCACCTATCAACAACTGGCTAATCATTGTTTTAATTAGAATATTTTGCCATTTCTGAAAATTTGTATCGTTAATTTTTCTTTTTGTCATTAACAGGGGCAGAAACCAGAGCAGCCACAACAACATCTACATCCACCCACTAATTATTACACAAACCGGCCTAATCACCAGGATCATAGACCGGTATCTCTGGAACAGCAGTGGCAGCAATTTCAACAGCAAGTGAAGATGGAAGGCGGTCAGCAGCAGTATGACCCGTACTCAGCAACTGAGGAGGGTGAGCACCAGGACACGGCAAGACAACCACAGGTACTTATATTTAATGGTGAAGCATAAATCATATCACCAATTTAGGATTAATTTCTAATTTCCACGTGCAGGTATGTAACCTAGAGATAACGGCTGGTGTCCATACCTTGAGGTTTCCTTGAGATGATTTTGAGGCTTAGCGTCCCCGCGGCCTGGTCCTCGACCAGGCCTCCTCGTTGCTGGACTTAAATTGAACTAAAATTAACTGAGCTTGCATCCTGATAGTTTGATGGCATTTGGCATAAAAAATCCTTGACAAACAAACTTGTGTTAAATACAAATACTCAATTTTAGAACTAATTTTATCCAGTATTGCTATGATCTACATTATAGGTAGATAAAATTCAAATTTAGAAATATGAGGGGTGAGGAAAGCTTTGGATTTCTCATAACACGGTACTTAGTACATGCACCTGTAGCCAAACCACAGGTATGACAGCTGCTTGAAGATAAGTTACATACTATACTTCACATTGTAATCAAAGATTGTCTTCTTCCATTACAAAGTAGTCTATGGGGTAGTGTTGGTAAACCAGTATTACAATAAAATGTTGCAGTTTGACTTAATGGTTATATGACCCTTGTGTTCAATAGTGCCAATCTGAAAAGTTCACATTTCTTGGTGAAGACTTTAAGGCTTTAGCACTGAATTTCACATGTTGAGATGCAGTACATGTATTTACAGTATCATTTTAGAATATGAAACAGTAGTTAATTTTTGAGGTACCGGTATTTATTTTAGTGTTAGTATTGTGAATGGCAGTTGTTTTGATATTTCAGTGCCTTAGCAGTTGCTGAAGATTAAGGCTCAAACTTTATAATATTGTGATATGCAAAAGTCAGCATTAGTGTGGTTTTAAAAGCAAGGACAATAATGTTGAAAATGATAAGTGGCATTGCTAAGCCTTGTTGCTTTTGATTGAGGATTGAAAATTTAATTACTAGTAACTTTCATTCAAAATTGAGGAGTGGATTAGAGGTTACCCATTGTATGAAGTGTTGGTAAATTTGAAACTGAAATATGTATAGTTAAATGGAACAGTTTTATATGCAGAAGACATGACAGTGTTCATATTGGATTAATAGACACTTATCATGTCCGGTGCCGCAACGGCAGCAAAATGGCTGAAGTTCTAATTTGGAATAAAGAGAATGAGTAACATGAAGAATGAGGAAGTTGTGTGATGATATTTTGATTGGAAGGCCTTTCTTTGTCTGCCTGTCCATTAACTGAATGGAATGGAGCAAATACAACGTGCTTCACAAGTAAACACAATATATTGTACTGTTTCCCCTTCAAATAACTAAATGGAATGGTGCAAGTACACCGTGCTTCAAAAGTAAACACAATATATTGTACTGTTTCCCCTTCAATTTATGACACGCAGAATATTTTTATTTTACTCGTGCAATTTAATTTTCACCATGTTGTTTATCGTAATGAACATATTATCCAACAAACTGTCTGCTGTATGTCTATATCAAGTGAATATTTTCATTCTTGCATACATGAAGGAGGACAAGTTGAGTTCTGAGGTTGTAAGGATGTTTTGAGAGAATGGTTGTAAAGTAAGTTAAAGAACATTTAATGATGTGGGGAAAGGTTTCAGAACACTGTAAGAAACTCGCACAAATCTTCACAGAAGTGAAGCATCATCTTTACCAGCACTCTACTCGGAGCCTTACTTGATTATATATAATAAATGAGTGTAGGCAGGAAACTTAGCAGGTAAGGTAATTCAGTAAGGAGGTCCTCCTCACTGAATTATCTTACTTTAGTACTGAAAGTACTGAACAGTACTTTCTGAAGTTACTTAGTACGGAACAGCCAGAAAGCAAGAAAAAATTGCTTGGAAGAAAGCTGGCCTTTAAAAATAAAAAATAAAATAAAAAGTGGTGTGTGTGTGTGTGTGTGGAGGTTAAGAATCTTATAGACCACAAACTTGCTTATGAATATTCAGATTAAGAAATGAGAATACATATAAATTTTGCTTCCCAATTATTTACTTTGAAGGGACCAAGGGCAATCAGTCGGCTCACTACCTCTTATCTTATTAATGAGAAAAGAAAAATACATATTAGTTACTTATCTGCAGGAACCCTAATAGTGCATCTTCCTATTTTTAAAGTAAGTACAGTAATGATACAATGACAAGTTAACAAAAGATGTCATTAGTAAGTAGAAATGTGTTGGTTTCAGCTCTCTCTCATCTGCTACCTTGTAACCATCATGTGTGTGTGTGTGTGTTGAATTACAATTTATGCAGTTATTAGTTTCATATGCTGTTAATTTGTTTCTTGCAATATTGTTATTTATTAATAAAATTGGTCTTTCAAGATAAAAATATTGGTTTTATTACTTGAAACATATTATAAAAATTTATTGTTTGTCAATATTGTAATATTATTACCAAATATGAAACATAATCTTTGCAAAATTAAGAGCGTGTGCGTGATTGTAAAATTTTTAATTCCATTTTTCTAAGTAAAAAATACTGTAATATTCGCTTCTACTTACCATTCATATTTCATTTTCAAAGCATTTTATGGAGCAAGAAGACAGCCTCAAAATTCAACTAAGAATTAATAGATAATTAACAAAATACAGCTGAATTGCAATACCATATAAATCGGTACAGTAACTACCGTTATGTAACCTGATACAGCATTCACTTAATAAAATATTGATCTTACTTCCCAAATTTGGATATAAATAGGAGCTGCCTCGTATAGGCTAATAGGTCTGCTGCAGTTACCTTCATTCTTATGTTCTTAATTTATGTGTCATATTCCTAGAAGATGCACAAGCAGTCAAGTCACCAGTCAAACAAGTCTTGGCTCATTTTTCTTGAAATGAATATTTAACAAGGTCCATTGCTTGCCTTGTTTCCTTAATCGCCAGTGATTCAGGTTACATTCAACTTCTACACATTATTTCCACGCCTTATTTTTCAATGTCATTCTTCATCCTGTGTTTTTTTAACGCTAAATTTAAGTTCCTCGGTTAATTGCTTTATATTATAGGCATTTAGTAATTGAACAGAAAAAATCATTGTAATTTTGTCAAAGTCGGATGACATGAAACACGTACAAACACGTACTGGCAAAATAAAGGGTAAAGATACTGTACATGAAGGGGGTTATGATTTATAGAGTTGGATTGGTGAGATAGTGTAGTTATGACTTAAGGTGGCAATAGATTGCAACTAAACAAGAGTGGGAAGCATGCGAATGTCCTTTATGCCATGTGGAAGCTGTACATGATGTCCATGTACAATTAGCTGAGGGCATATAAAGTTCACAATATATATATCAAGCGCTGTGGGGATTTTTTGGGAAGATAAGAGCTGCATTAATAATTCACAATGTTAAAACATAAACACTGATAGAAATGACTGAAAAGGAAATGGCTTAAGTATGTTTAAGACTGCAATTAAGTGTGTGCATTGAATATTTCGCCTCACAGAAGATATTATTGGTAGGTTCGCTAATTTTTGCCGTTTGTATTTTGTTTAATTGTTTAATTATTTTCTAAAGCATAATGTGGATGTTAAAACGTCACTTTTTTTTTTTACTGAGCTTTAGTACTATTTGTTACACCAAAAGACAAAGCTAGAATTAGAGGGAAGATTTTGGATGAATAGCAAACTGTAAGTGTCTAGGGCCATACAGCTTCACTTTTTGTTATTAAAAAGTTAGTATGTAAGAATAAGGAAAACTGCAAAAGGTTTAATGGCCCATATGAGACCACTCCTATTTATATTCACCCTAACTCACTCACATACAGGGCAAACTCACTGAAACAATCTAAATAGGGAGAATTCCATAAAGAATTTTGTTCAACTCAAACCTCCCCCAATTCCAACCAAAAAAAAAAAAATCATTTCCTACATCCATAATAATACATATATACAGGTTTTTGACTTAGCTTACCAGGAGAGTAGTGTAGTAAAATATCATTATACCCTTGATGCACATTAGGTAAGTACAAATCCACCTATCTTCACTACTACTTGAGGTTATCTTGAGATGATTTCGGGGCTTAGCGTTCCCGCAGCCCAGTCCTTGACCAGGTCTCCTTTTTGTTACACACCCACCAGGAAGCAGCCCATAGCAGCTAACTCCCAGATACCTATTTACTGCTAGGTAACAGGGGTATCAGGGTGAAAGAAACTGCCCATTTGTTTCCGCCTCCACCGAGGATCGGACCCGGAACCTCAGGTCTACGAATCTAAAACACTGTCCACTCGGCTGTCAGGCCTGTACTGTATTAACCCTTAAACCGCTAACTGTTAAATAGCCTACATCCCCAGGGCGCTCAAGAAAAAAATTGTTCTGAAAAAATTATTTTTTCTTATGACATTGTTAATTAGCCTTCGGGAAGCACAAAAAAAAAATAGAAATAAAAAGTGTGTAGCTCTTGTGGTTTAGGTGTAGTGGCCTGGAGAAGGTGCATATTTTAGTTGAGGTGCCGCATAGGAATAATTTCGTTGATTTATTTTCATTGTTTCTCAATTTATATATTTAATTTTTTCATGCTAACACGTTGTATTTGTGTGTCAAAGTTACTGTCTATTATGTAAAACTTTGAAAGTATAAGTATGTATGGATATACAAGTATAGATATAAAGACACCCACATACTTATTCATAATAATACATGTATATACATTTTAAGCCTAAATCTTAAAATTGCATATAGCACACATTTTGCCTCAAATATATACAGTACATGGTAATCACTCATTTGCTGTTGGTAAAAGTTTAGTGTCTCCTCTATGGCTGCCATAAACATTCAGACACTGGATGGTGATGTTGCCAAGCAATGGTCGTCATTTTCTTACAAAGGCCCTAGAAGGAAAGTGAGGGACTCAGGATTTTTTTTCAAGATTGGGGATGTTTACTGGTGGTCTGAGGAAGCAGATGTGAGCTCTTTGTATGTGCAGGACTATTTTAACTATTTTAAATATGCAAATCATATATATGATTTGCACCATTTTG